CCCCCCCCCCCCAAAAATGGGTGTTTTTTTCACCCCCAAAAAGGGGGCTTTGCCCCAAACCCAGATTTTTTTTTTCACCCCAAAAAAAGGCTTGATGCTGCCAGGTAATGGGCACTGGCAGGGCCCTGGGGAGCAATGAGGATCCCCCCACTTTCACCACGCAAGCCCCTAACATTGCTCCCCAAAAACAGCATCCCTCCCTCTCCTTCTGCCTCTTCCAGGGTTTATTTTAAAGGCTTTACCTGTTTATTCCTTTCCCTTTTCTAGCAACTCTCAAAAGAAAACAGAGTTGTCTCAATGCTTTCTGACTAAAGAGTTAAAATATATCCATATACATGCAAGGAAAGGGCGGGGAGGGTCTTAAACCTCCAAAAATGGGCCTTCTTGGGCATTTCAAGAAGTCAATTTAAACTTTAACTTAAAATCACAGGTAGCCTGAGGCCCTGAGTTGGGGCCACTCTGTGGGGCTCAGCTTGGGGTGTTTCTTGGCTGGTGGCGTTAGGGGGGGATTGTTCAGCCCTCCTCGGCTGAACCCGTTGCGGGGCGAAGCCATCCCATGCTTAAGACCCTCCGCAGAGACCCCAAAACTCTGCTGAGCCCCCCGAGCTGGCTGGGGACAAAAGAGAGGTGTCCCCAGCTCCGTTCATCTCGGAGGAGAGGGTGGCTCAGCATCACTGCAGGACCAAGCCTCTCCCCTGAAAGCAGCTTCTCCTTCTGCAACGAGCACAGAAAACATCAAATTTTTAGGGTTGGGGTTTTTTGGTGGGTGTTTTATGGGGGTTGTGTGGTTGGTTTTTTTTTTTTTGCACAGCAACTTTTATTTCCCCACTAAACAGAGTGACAGGGCAAAGAGACATACAGCATCGCGGGATCACATGAGGGCGGGCAGGGGTTTATAAGCACGCGCGAGATCACACCTAAAACAAGGCTTCCCCTTTCCTTCCCCACGACACGGCCTGGGTTTCCATCGGGAGCTACCCATACCCACAAAGCCAATCCCAGAAAATCTGCGACGCCGAACGCATCCGAGAGATTCCAGGATTCGGCACCTCCACGGCTCTCCCTACAGCTACACCCCTGCCAGCTTCTGGGTTGACCCAAAAGCACCCTTCTCCCCTTCACCCCCAGCCCCAGCTCACACGGCCTCGATCCCCGGGGCTGCGGCTCCCAGCGCTCGGCTCTACAAATGCTCAGCATTAACGACGGGGGGGGAAAGCGGCGAGGGAGATCGTGGGGTTTTTGCTCTCTTAGCGCTAGCGACAGCTAAAGACGGGCTCGGCCCTTTCCACAGGCAGGAAAGGAAAGTGGGGGTGGGGTGGAGGGGAGAAGCTAAAAGGTGACCTGCAGAGCAACAGTGTCAAAAATCAGGGGGTGGGTATGGTACCTCTCCTCCTCACGCAGCTTTTCTAGCCCTCAAGAGCTTCCCGGGTGCACGACAGCAGCTATGGATCAATGCAGGATGCAATAAACCCCTCAGGTAGCTTTTCTCCCTGGTTACATCCCTGTTTGCATAGGGCAGCCAACTTCAAACAGAACAAAACACACCCCAACTATATGGGGTTGCTTATACAGCAGGCCAGAGTGGGGGAAATTACCCCACACAGAGGCTATTTAAGCAGCCACCCTCAATGGTCGATGCCCCAAAGGAAGGGTTTTTCAGGGTAAAAGAGATCCAAAACTTTTAAATGCAACAAGAAAAAGTTAACCCCAAAGTCAAAACAAGGGACATATCATGAGTTTCAGGGTCCTCTGTCTGAAAGCAAGGGGAAAAAAGGGGACAGGATCGGGTACTACTTGCAGGTCACCTTGGGGAGGGTTAAAGAAACTGGACGGGTCAATTGCAGAGGGAGAGCGAGGAGCCCACATAGAAGAGCCAGAAGAAAGGAAAGATCTTCTCGGTGAAAGCGGCTGTGAAGGTGAAGATGGGAGCCATGTTATCAGCGTTGTAAAACGCCACCCACCCGCCTTCGTAGTCCAGGTACACCCCGATCTTCCTGGGCCTCTCGCACAGGGACAGGGGCGTCTCCGGGGAGGTGAAAGCCTGATACTGATCCCAATTCTTTCCCTTCCAGTTCAACCCCACCGCCCAGATCCCCTCCTCTGGAGCAAAGTCGATTTTCTCCTTCCTCCGCACCGACTCGCGGGCCGCCCCCAGGACCCAGCTCTCTCCATCTCCCACCTCCACCTCCCAGTAATGCCTCCCAGCTACAAAACCCTCCGCCGCCAGCACGCAGAAGGAATAATCGAATCTCTTGGGGTTTGCCGGCAGCTCCTGGGGAGCGCTCCTGAGCCGCACGCTCCTCTTGTCCTCCGACAGCACCAGGTAGGGGTTGGCAGTGTCTGGGTCCAGAGAGAGATCACCTGGGAAGAGGGAAACATGGATGCTGAGCGTCTGGAAGCTGAGGACACTTCTTCCACCCTCATCAGAGCCACCCTCCAAGGGGATTCATCATTCCTGCCCAAAACCCAGACAAGGAGAACACCAGGCGAGTCACCTCCAGAAGCTTTAAGCACCTGAAGAGCCACAGGGGAACAAAGATCAGGCTCCACTTTCTAATTAAAGCAGAGAAACAGCCAGATCTCTGCTGCAAACCCACCAGCCTGCCCCATCCGGGACATCTCCTTGCTCTAGAATAGAAATTTCTGGGCAGAAGTAACTTTTTTTTTTCCCAGTCACTGCCAAGTGCCAGAGGGGAATGAGCATAAATATCCTCGTGTCTGGGGACCGTCAGGAACTAGGGCTGCACAGCCTGAAAACGACTGTGAAAGCGGAACATCAGAGACCGCTAAAAGCAAGACGGGTCTGTCCTGCACCCAGCCAAGGAGACTGAGCCCAGCGACATCCCTGAACTACCAGCAAACGCAAGGGTTGCAAAGTCCACCTCTGAGCTAACCCAACACCCACCAGCAGGGCCCAAGGTCTCCTCACTCCAAGTAGACCGGATCAGTTAAGAGTCCTCTTAACTCCACAGCTTCCTAACAAATTCGAGGGCTGTGCCTTTCACGGACCCTCCCAGCAGCTAGATCGCTTTTTCCCCTCTTCCCTTGGCAGCACCAGCAATAATTTTCTCCTCTCCTGACCTTTCAAGGCTAGGTTGAAGGTCCTACCACTGAGATCCTCCTCAGGAAAGCTGAAACTCTCAAATTAAGCCTTGCAAAAACAAAGGTCAGACTCGCAAAAACAAACTGTGCTCACCTGTGTCATTCTCCAGCTCGAACCGGAGGTTCTCTGAGGGAAGAGAAGAAAGAGATTTAGGTCCCTTTGCGCACGGGGAGACCCCAGAGACTGCCTACACACCACAACCTTGCTCCCCGCCTTAGGGCGGGCCACCAAACACTGCTGCTTGGGAACGACCGCGTACGGCCACGTCAGACTTCCATGCAGAAATCCAAGGGAAAGGTGCTGCGTTTCCAGCAAGCAGGGCTTTGCTGAGCAGATGCTCAAACAAGAAAGAGCTCTTCCCAACAAGCCCAAGGGAGAAATAAAAGATGATTGTGTTTGAGCTGTGCTCCTAAGTTTAATTAAACGTTAGGTTTACGTTAGGAGGCACCAACTTTCAAAGAAAACCTTTTTCAGCGCTCACCCTTGAACTCCAGCAAGACTTCTTTCAGCACTGCACTCTTCTGGGAAAAGCTCTTGAGTTTCTTCTCCAGCTCTGTGAAGCCAGCCTCCGGCTTGCAAAACATCCAGCTCTCAAAGCTGGGGAGGAGAAAGAAGCATTAGGTTCCCTCTGGGGGAAAAAAAAAAAAAAATCTGCAAACTAGAGGCAGGGAAGAAACCTGCCCTGGTGCTGAAGAGGTTTGGTGTTGGATTATTCTCCCCCTCTCAGCACTTGTGAGGCCACACCTAAGGACTGGGTCCAGTTTGGGGCTTCCCAGTATGAGGCACACAGGAGACCACTGAGATAAGGGATCTTCACGCCTTGGCTCAGCTCCGAGCAGCCTGCTCCAGCTTTTGATACGGGTCCCGATGGTGTGGGTTTGGTCCCGCACCAACCGAGTCACTCTGCAGTTTCCTCGGGAAGGACGCTCAAACCCTCCCACAACCCAGCCTGTCGCAAACCCCCTTCGCAAAGGTTTGGTTTTGCCTCAAAGCTGACACCCGGGCGTGAGCAAGAATCACAAAGCAGGGGTGGGGGGAAAGCTGGATGGGCTGCACGCCCTGCAACACCAGCTCTGCCTCCGCTGTGAGCAAGGGCTCAGGTTCACTCACCTGCTTCCAGCTGGGGCAACACCCTGGAGAGAGAGTAAAAAACAAGAAGCTGATCAGTAAGAGTCTCTCTTCTACCTCAGCCTCCAAAACTCTCCCCAAAACTGGCCCCACAGCTGTTCTGCTGAGGGGATCAGCTCTCAGCAGCTGATTCCTAAGCAGAGTGCAGTTGGGACTTGCAGAGATGGCAGAATTAGTTTATAATTATGGTTGGGGTTCCCCCCCGCCCTTTTCAGTGTGAGGAAAAAACATGCTTCCATGATTGCCATCAAGCTGCCAAAACCATGAGGGTTCAGGGCTCGCAGCAACAGAGTGACACAAACCAAAAACATTTGGGAGGTTTGTTTGCATATTTCTTAGTTATTGGTATCAAAGAGAGCCCAAGCAGCTTCACTACTACAAGGACAAATTTTACCTCCCAAAGCTGTGCTAAAAAACAGCCCAGCAGTCCAACAACCAGTCAAAACCCCTGACTCACAGATGGGCCAGCTCCAGCAAGGAGTTAATGGACCCGAGCTGCTCCCCAGTAGAGCACAGCAGCACCCAGCGGTCCCTGTAACTGGATTTTTGCTCTCAGGGATCCCAACCCAAGCTCTCCCGGGTTTTACACCCTGCTATACCATAACCTCTGGGCTGGGAGGACACATCCCAGAAGTCTCACCTGCCCAGATTGGTTTCCTGGGCCGTTCTCTCCTCCTTGCTCGCTGAGCAGCTTGTCAAGCTGGGCAATCTCCTCCGAGAGCCGGGAGACACTTTCATCTCTCCTCTTGACGATGTCTCTGTCCAGCTCCTCCAGACGGGACAGCAGGAGCTGCTCCTTCTCCTCCAGGAAGCCCCGGAGCTCCTTGCACTCAGCCACAATCTTCTGCCTCTCCACTTCCGTCTGCTTCTGCAAAACCCAGAGGGGAAACCCACGTGTGACCGACATCCCCATGGCCAGGGGGGGTTCAGGGAAACCCCTGCCCTGAGGCACTCACCAGCAAGTCTTCGCTCTGCCTCTCCCTCTCAGCCTTGGCTTCTTCACGCCCTTTCCTCAGGGAGCTCAAGTGCTCCTGTGGTACCTCCTGGAAGGACAAGGAGGAGATCTGTTGGGAATCCTTCCTATTTGGCATAAGGATTAGGGAGGAAACGGATGGTGGGGGATTCCCTCTGGCGCTGCTCGCTCCTGGAACTGGCCAAATTTCATCAAACATGCATTTTGACACCATGAACCCAAACTGAAGTCAGGCCATCACCACAGCGTGTCCTCCCCTGCCCTGTTATCCTCAACCCTTACTTTTGGGCATGCAAGAAAGCCAAAAACTTTCTCCTAAAACAGCTTGAGCAGTTTGGAGCCAGGTACAGGAGGATGAAGAAAGGGCAGCAAGGCCAAAAAATATAAATCAGAGTCAATTTTTAGCTAAGAGCGCAGCTGCAAACACAAATCACCAAGTCCTACCCACATGAAAACCCCCTCCACCTCAGCGCCTCTCGGGATCAGCTTTCACATCCCAGCCCCACCACGAGCCGGGGAAACCAGCCGAGGCACCCCAACATCTGCCTGAACCTCACCAAGATGGAGGGGCCAGCCACCTCCAGGCTGCTCGTTAAGTCTATTAACGGCTTATTACTGGAAACCATTGTGCCTGTCCTTGTTTAAGTCATTTGACCTCCGAAGGAGAGGCTCCCAGCAACACTATACAAGAAGCAGCAGGGCTTTTGGGAGCAATGACAGATCTTTTATAAATAAAACGCAAAGTTGCTTTATAAATAAAAAGCAAAGATTTTGCTGTTGTTAACCGGCTGCGCAAACCAGTGCTTGCTACCATGTGCCTCATGATAACGCAGAATTTAAGCGCGAGATAAAAGCACAGATCAGAAAAAACAGAGGCACTGGTTGCACGCAGCCACCAAGGGGCAACAACCGGTTGTTAAAAATGCATAAAAGCAGATTAATGAGGGGGGAAAAAAAAACCACAAGAGAGCAACAGCCTGAGCAGCATTCAATAGCGGACCTGCCTAGAGATGCACTGGTCCTAAAAAAGGGGCAAGATCCCAAATTTGGGGATGGGAGGGGATACGACAATGACTCGAACTACTTTGCTTCTAAAAGCGACCACAGCCATTGAAGACTGCAAGGATGGCGCAGCCGGGCACCCGCAGTGAATTCAGTACAAAATTCAGTCTAAAAGCGTTTGGTGCCACCTGCCTCCATACTGATAACTGCAAGAATTAATGCGTGGTGGTTAACGATCACGCAATCCCCTTCCCTGATCCACTGTGATCGCCCCGGCTGTGCCGGTGCCACCCTCCTCCTCCTCCAGCCGCTGCTGCGCAGTAAACATCCGCTCCCCGTCCGGCATCTTGATTTTCCTCCACCCCGCAGGAGGAATGAGGCCTGGCTGCTCAGGGTCAGGCCACCGCACTCATGAGCCTCTTAATTATCAATTATTTCCACCAGAGAGCTCCCCCGCATCACAACACGGGGGTCTCCCCTTCGACACTGCAGCGGTTTCAGCAGAGATCGAAAGCTGCCGGAGGCTGGGCTCCGTATTTGCTCTGCGTCACATTGCTCAACCGCTCTGTGCTGGTTTTTTTTTTTTGGTGGGGGGAAAACTAACTCCTGGGGGATTCCTACTCCCCTTTAGCCCGTAATTGTGCTTGGTGCTAAAAAACATAAGCCCCCACACCCCTAAGGGCCAGGGTCCATACTCGCTCCAAAACATTTCTGCACAGGGACATGGCAGCTAGGGATTTTGGGGTGCACAGTGGTATTTTGCACACCCAAACCTGCACAAAGGCGACCCCAGGGATTCTCATGGTAGTTATTTTGCTCAGGACACAAAGCCAGCAGACGCCCCACCTCCCAGTATCTTCCCAGTTAAAGCCAGCTCCATTTTGCACAGGGGACACTCCCCATCCTGCCCTACTGCATGGGGTCAGCTCCCACCCCATCAAGTCACCGTTTGGGGGGGATCTGAGTCCCTGCTGCACCCCATATCCTGCCCTGCTGCATGGAGAAGCACCCATCTTGGAAGGAGGTCCCCAGTGGGGCCCTATTCTGCACCCCACACCCTGGGGGGACCCCCTACTATCCTCACTGCATCCCAGGTACCTCTGAATGGAGAGGGGGAACACATGGTGTGTGTCCCTACTGCATCTTACAGGCTGGGGGACAAGCAGGCTCACCTCTACACCCTCCTGGGAAGCAGAGGGTCGCGACTGCAGCCAAGGGGCACTGCCTCCCGTGGGGAGGGGCTTCCCGGCTGCACTCCAACCCTGTGGGGCGTCCTTATTGCACCCCCAAATCGGAGTGGGGAGGGAGGGTGTCGCTGGTACTCTCCCTTCTGCTCTCCCCTTATTGCATCCCCCATTATGGGGGGGGGCGAGGCATCCTGCACCCGAGAAGGTCTCCCCGGGGGGGGATGTCCTCGCTGCACCCCAACATCCCGGGGGGGCCCCTACCGCACCTCTCAAACCGGTACGTGCTCCCCAACTCCCTGCC